GATGCTCCCCCGGGGCGGCCCGTCTGGCGCGGGGGGTGCCCTGGGCAGCCGCGGGGCCGCGCTCACATCCCGCCGGGCATCTCGAGATGAGCAGAAGAGAAGCCTCACCTCCTCCTCTGGCTACGTGTGCTCAGCTGCAGTTGCTGCTCGGTTGTTCCCCCGGACTGGGGTACCCCTGGGCTGTCCTGCTTTGATGTGGTACTGGCTAAGACAGCAGTAGCAACTGTGTTTTCAGCTATCTCTCCTTGTTGCTCCAGATGCAATTATTTTAAAGTATGCAGGCACTTTTCCACTGGTGAGGTAAAATGTAACTTGTTATTTATAGCTATGTTTTAGCTGGTCTGGAATTCAGGAGTATTACTCAATTTGTCATAGCCTGGATGTGGGCGTGGACACTAAAAAGAGAACCTAGAAATAGACTGAAGAGAGCTTGAAGGAATATGCTGAACAGCTATAATAGCAACTATTTTTTACCATTAGGCTTGAATTTTTTTTACTATGCGTCTGGTATTGAAAGTGTGGTGAGGCTTGGTGGAGACCAGTGACAAGTGGAGTTCCTCAGGGTTCTGTTCTGGATCCAGTGCTGTTTAACATCTCTGTCATTGACATGGATGGTGGCACTAAGTGCCAGTAAGTGCCCTCAGTAAGTCAGCTGATATCACTAAGCTCTGTGGTGCAGCGGACTCACCTGAGGGAGGGGAGGCTATCCAGAAGGAACTTGGCAGGCTTGAGAAATGGGCCAGTGTAAACTGCATGAGGTTCAACAAGTCCAAGTGCAAGGTCCTGCAGCTGGGTTGGGCCAATCCCAGGCACAGTTACAAACTGGGTACAGAGCTGGTTGAGAGTAGCAGTGAAGAGAAGGACTTGGGGGAGTTGGTTGATGAAAAGCTCAACACGAGCCATCAGTGCACTTATGCAGCCTGGAAGGCCAACTGCATCCTGGAATGCATCAAGAAGGGTGTGGCCAGCAGATCAAGAGAGGTGATTCTCCCCCTTAACTCTGCCTTTGTGAGACCCCCACCTCGAATATTGTGTCCAGTTCTGGTGTCCCCACCATAAAAGGGACATAGATCTGTTGAAATGTGTCCAGAGGAGCCCACAAAGATGATCCAGGGGCTGGAGCATCTCTGCTATGAGGGTAGGCTGAGGGCACTGGGATTGTTCAGCCTGGAGAAGAAAAGACCCTGGGAGAACCTGATATCTGCCTTACAATACCTGAAGGGAACCTACAGGGAGGCTGGAGAGGGACTTTTCACAAGAGTGTCCAGCAACAGGACAAGGGGGGATGGTTTTAAATGGAAGGAGAGGAGATTTAGACTAGATCTTGGGAAGCTCTTCAGTACGAGGGTGGTAAGACTCTGGAATAGATTGTCCAGAGAAGTTGTGGATGCCCCTTCCCTGGAGGGGTTAAGGCCAGGCTGGATGAGGGCTTGAGCAACCTGGTCTCACTGGGCATCCCTGCCCTTGGCAGCGGGGTTGGATTAGATGATCTCTAAGGGCCCCTTCCAACCTAAGTCATTCTATGAGAGTTTTCCTCCAAGGCAAGAGGTGCTACTCTGTAGAGCAGCAGTATAAAAAAAGCTAAGAGAGTTATTGTGGGCCCAAATGCCTTCCTCTTTCACAGCAATATTGCATTTTTTGGTTTATCTCTGACAGTTCTCTGACACGGGCAGCAGAAAAGAACATGTTAAAATCACAAGTGAGTCCAAACCAGGGTTCCTGGAGAGGCTCAGCGAGACTTCTGGAGGCATGTTGATGGGACTTGTGACTTTTCTTCTGTCTTTCTACCTTCTTTTTACCAATGAAGTAAGTGAAATACTGCTAGTGTTTATACACAGCTTTAAAATGCTTTAGCTGAGACAATATTAAACTAGTTTTGCATGTATAGACTTACTGAAATGGCCATGTTAAAGCTTTATTGCTTCATCCAAGAGAAGAGGGCGTTATGTCTGGAGAGCCTGGTACTTATGCTTGGGATACAACAGAAGACTGAAATTACAGGGCCACAAATAGTGTTTTTATAGAGCTGAGTGTAGTAGAGGTAGTGGCAGTGTGTGATCAGAGATAAGACCCAAAACTTGTAAGCTGGGGTAGAAACAGGCTGTGGTATTATTCAAAGAGGGTTCTGTGAGCCAGCCATGTTCCAGTCTTCTCTCTTTGGATAATGTAGGATCCTCACTTCTAGTCTTGGCATGATTGTCTTAAAGCCATTCGTGTTCCATGTTGCAACATCGAGGGTGTTCATGATTCTCAGTGTTATTCTAAGCCTTGGTTTTAGATTGAAAAAATAATTACAATAAGTGGGGAATCCTAACACCCTTCTGTTGTAAACATACATGCTCTTGGCAGTTTTGGAGTAGGGGAGCAAAATTCTGTGAACTTTCACCTAAGACTTCCTTTTATCCCTCTACAAAAGGAAAGAGAACTACTCCCAATTTCAGTGACTTTGCAGGAAAAAGCCCATGGTAATGTGATGGTAATGTAAGGAAGGCTTCTGCCAAGCAGTTTGGGTCTCTGGAAAAAGGACCATAATTACAGTTATTCATGCACAGGTCCATAATATTTGCAGTTCTTCATGAAAAACAAACAAGAGGTGAAGAACAATAGTTTTAGACCCTTGTAGGAATAACTGTGTGTGGTTGAGGAACTTAGTCAGTGTTGATGGCCATGCTTCGTGGGTAGGAAGTACTGCCCCAAACTTGATCAGAGAGAGAAAAAGAGCATAGGAGTACAAGTGCATTTTGAGAATGTGACTTGAGGTTGAAGATACAACTGTTCCTTGCAGTCTTGAGGTCTGCTAACCTTTTTCACACTGTACTGCTGTACCACGGATTCTTCACAACTCAGTTTTGCTTTTCTTGGTTGCAGGGACGAGCTGTAAGGACAGCGAAATCCCTTGATGAAGGGCTTTCTCTTGTGGTCCCTCTTGATAGCATCCACAGTGTGTCTCAGCAGAATGAAGGAAGACTGGTGCACTTAGCTGGCTCTCTGAGTACATCTAAGGTAAATAAAACAGTATATGGAAGATATGAATGTTTCAGGCATGGAGGGAAGGAGAAGTCTTTGCTGGTTAAAATGATGTTTGCTATCCAGGGAGAAGACACATACCTTCTCTCCTCCTCTGTAACCACTGCCAGCTACTGCCCAAGCTTTGGTTCTTGGCCTGGAATTGGGGAGATGCTGTACAGCCTTGGTCTTCCTGCTCCCAAGCTATCTCTAGCTGTGTTTACCCTCCCACTCCCTTTGGTGGATAATTTCAATTCCCCTTTGTATAGGGAACATATTGTGTGTTCATGATACCATAAAGCTTTTAGGCTCTGGCAGTTCAGAGACTCTGCAAATTCTGACTTTTCAGCAGCAATGCCACTTTCTGTGGGCAGTTTGCCCTGCAGAAGGTAACACAGCATGGTAGCTTCCAGCCACATTAAATCTCCCCCTGGTTTAAACACTTAAGCCTACATACCATTAGCCAGCATTTGTCTTTTGTTCTTCACTGTGGTAATAATTTCTGATGGTGATTCCTTTGGTCAGGTTTCTCAGTGTTATAGAGAGATCCATCCCTTTGTCAGTTATAAGATCTCTTCTGTAGCCAACTGCGTGTAACATAGTACTAACTACACTACTCTAATGTGTGGTACATTAATGGTTTTGATAACAAAAGTACAATGTTTGAGTTTGAGGTACAGCATTTATACTGACTTGTAGTTTTTAATTTTTAAATAGCCTTTGTTTGATCCCAGCTATGGGCTCTCCATCCAGGCTGTCAAACTTAAGCGTAACGTGGAAATGTACCAATGGGTTGAATATGAAGATTCCAAGTAAGTCAAATAAATCTTTAAAAGGTGTCTATAAAGCTGTTGTAATAACAGGATCCTATCACTCCACCCCCCACCTCACCCCCTGAAAAGTATAAAAATTGTCAGCTATTTTGTTGGCCTAGCCCCACAGAACTCACATTTCAAATGTCTTCTGTGTCACACACACACACACACACAAAAAAAAGTCAGAGGTTATGAAAGTGTGAAAAACAACTTCTCAGTTCTAACGTTCTTATGATACAGCACCTGTAAAGCACTTGTTGATTTAGGTCACCTTGTCTCACTGTCTTTAATGCTGGTTGTTTCACATTGATCTGGTCAACACCTCCTTGTTGCCAACATTGGAATAAAGGGGTTGTGGCTGTTCAGCAGTTGTGTATGGTTTTCTCCTGGTACAGAGGATCTGTGTCTTTAGAATGGATAATTCAGAGAAGAGTTGGTTTACATGTAGAGATAAGTTTGTGTTGCCAGTGAGCTGTCAGTGCGTTTCATTTGCAAAGTGTATTCTGCCCTAAGCAGGGGTGTGTGTGCACTGTTTTCATTCTCGTCCCACCCCTTTTTTTCTGCAGGGAATATGAAGAGAATGGTGAGATTAAGAAAGAGACAAAGTATTCATACAGTAAGTTGATCAACAAAGTCCTTTTTCTTTTATGCATGGAACTTTGGAGTTTTATCTCTGTGCATTTTGATTTTTGTTTTAAACCTTGTATATTCTTGTTGGGAAAGAAAGGAAAAGACTGCAAGAAGTTAACAAAAATTCTATTTCCTAAACATATGATAAAGCTTCCATTTCTTGAGGTAACTGAGGTGAAAGGAGGTATGCTGTTAGCAAGCACCTACTACAGAAAGTCATATCTTGGAACTTCGAGAGGGTCAGAGCAGCATGCAGAGATAGGGCCCATAACAGGAGATGGGCAGAGGTGGGAGAGTGTTCAAACCTACACCTGAAATTACTCTTCAGAAGTGAAGTAATTGGGCATGTGTCAGGCATGAGCAGAAGAGAATAGACAGGGAAGGACAGCATAGCTCCAGCCTGTAAGAGAGCCTGTTGAGAGTCTAAGTGTAGATACCAGCTAATGAAAACCACCAACACCTTCTGATGTGGTCTGTGGCTTTTGCCAGATGCTTTTTTGGCAGGAGCAGAACTGAGAGCGTTATTCTGATCTCCCAGAAAGGTACTCTTGAGTCATTGTGTACCTGGAGATTGGTCTCTGTGCTTCATTTGTCTCTGATTAAAGCACATGGATGTGTAACGTGGGTGTGCAGTAGTTTCTGGGTGTGAACATAAAATTGCCCCAGGTCAGTAAAGCGTGGGGCCCTGCAGTGAGGAGATACAGAAGGAGCAAAGCTAGTGGTTGTGAGCTGTGAAAAGCAGCCTTACAGTAGCGAGGAACAAAAAGAAATTCCATTTTAAAAAAAAAACAGCTGCCCTTGTAAGATTGATGGATCCTGTCCAGTAAAAGTCTGTATATTATTAGATGTAGTGGGTTAGCCTTGGGTGGCAGCCAAGCGCCCACACAGCTGCTCACTTACTTTCCCCCTCAGCAGGACTCAGGGAGAGATTGGGAAGAACAGGAATGAGAGAGCTTGGGGTTTGAAATAAAGATAGGATTGCCTACCAATTGCCATCATGGGCAGAACAAAATTAAATTATTGTCAATTAAAATAAATATTTAGTTATTGATTAGGGTGTTGGCAAAACACATCTGCTCTTGCCCGTTCCTAGGCTCAGCCTCAGTCCAGACTCCTCTCCCCATGCCCTGTATTGCCACAGGTTACACTCCCTCCTGGAGTGGGGCAGGGCGAGGGGCAGGCCACAGCCAGCACCTAGTGGTTGATCTCTCCCATTCTTTCCTTCTCACACTTTTCCCCTGCTCCAGCATGGATTGTCCCCATGCTGCAGTGAATATCTGCTCTGCTGTGGAGCACCTCCCCCTCTTCTGACTCTGGTGTTCCTTCTGTTGTCACTGCATTTTGTTCCTTCCCTTCCACTTTTGTTTTCTGCCCTTTCTTAAAAATGTTTTCGTGGAGGTGCTCCAGACTTCACTGACGGGCTGAGCTGCAGCCTGCAGTGGGTTCCCTGGGGAGCCAGCTGTGTTCAACACAGGGCAGCCTCAGGCCTGAAGACCATCTCTGCAGCAAACCCCCTCACCCCCCTCCAGTCTTACCGTGTATCTTATAGTACACCAGCATATCCCATACAATGATTCATACTCCACTGTTTAACCAAACTCCCTTTCCTTCCTCTCTCCTTCATGGAAGTAGAGCAAGCAGTATTTGATATGGAAGCTGCACCAAAAAGGGACTCTAGTTTAACAGGAGTTAAAAGGAACCTACTGGAGTCTGGTCAGGGATGTGGGAAGGCTGCTGTGACCCGAACAAAGGCAGCATTGTGCATTTTTGAGGGTGGTACATACAGGTACCATCTCTCGGTTGCTTCCCTGAGCTGAGGTGTGCTGTGGTTCCAGCAGAGCCCACAGCCTTTCCTTATAAAACCAGATTATTCCCAAAGAGTGGAGCTGGGAATCAAAGCCTGATCATGGAAGATGGCAACAGCAAAGTTCCTGCTGTGCAAAGCTGAGTTACAATTTTATCCCTGAAATTCCTTTTTTCCCCTAAATCCTGCCATTCCTTGTTAATATGCCAGGAGGATGGATTTAAGTATCAGTACAGCCTATCACATACATACCTTGATGTAAACAGTATTATTAGAAGTGTAACTTAGAACTGATTAATTGATTGAGAGCTGTCTTCAGTAATTTAAGATCTTCATGGCAATTCTTCCTGTCTCTTCCTCAACCTTCATATCCTTTTCTCTAGATACTGAGTGGAAATCGGAAGTTGTGAACAGCAGAAACTTTGATCGAGAAATTGGACACAAGAACCCAAGGTAACTTACCCCTGGCACAGTCCCTCTGACACTGTTATCAGGTCCAAGATGTCAGCTAAATGACTAATCCTCGTGACACAGTGAAACAGATGGAAACTGTTGGTCTTCTCGTAGCTGGGAGAACTAAGGCACAGAGAAATTAGAGAGCAGTTCAGAGTTGCCTGGTGGATCCAGGATTAAGCTGTCCATTAGTAATGACTGGATGTCAGGCTATTATTGTATTACCTCTGGACTATGTGGCCTTCATGTAGGAGAACTTGAAGGGTTCCTTTCTGACTTCTATTGTCTGTAGTGCAGCCTATTACTAGTTGCAAGTAGAGGGTTAGAATAGCAGGCATCCTGTGAGCTTGTCACACCCCTTGCTTGCTGCTTTTTCTAAGCTAGCAGGCATGAGCTCACAGGCTTGTTTGTGGCAATTGCCCATGAGAATTTTTTTCACACATTTCTCATCTGCAGCATTTTGGTTACATTACAATGGGCCATTTTTAGTGCTGAGTTTCAGCTTGTTTGTCATTCTCACAGCACCTGCTTTGTTCCTTAGAGTGCAAGATGTCACCTGGCAAAAACCATTATGTGTGAGTGAATACAGCTGGAGAGACAGCAGGACCAGCACTTCAATACAAGTTTTGAACTTTGCAAAATCTCCAGAACTTTGCTTTTGCTCCATGGGCTCATCCAAATACACTGCTCTTAATTTGGAAGTACTACTTAAGGAAGGAAAGCAAAGATCTATGTGGTTTTAAGTCCCAATGAGCAGACTTGTTTAGATGAGAGACAATGGATAAAAGGATGCAGAGGTGACACACCTGCTTTGTCTCTCCTCTCCCTGCACACTTTTTTGTTAATGCAAATTCTCCAAGCCTTCTCCAATAAATGCAAATTTCCAGTTGAGAATAAGAAACATTTTTTATTTAGTGCTATTGCAGCACATAGTTTAAAAAGTGCTGCAGCTAAGAACATTTCATCTGAGAGTACTGGTACAAACCAAGGAGACTGAGCATAACTGTGGTGGATCCTTGTGTGAGACAGCACAGGGTACACAGACATGTTTGAACTGTAGAATTCATGCCTAGCAATAGTGAAGCTTTACTTTAACTATGTGCTACATATCTTCTTCCTTCCATCCATCTTATCTTTTTATGCAACTTAAGACAATTTGTGCAAATAAAATCTGTTGTTTACTGCCAGGGAGATTAGAGTAGTACTACTTATGAGCTGAAATCAAGCCTGTAAGGAAAGGATTCCTCAGTTTGGAATTTAATTAACTTGGTCATGATGTAGAAGTACCTTTATATGGAGAACATTTGTGATCTAGGTTTCTTAACTTAGCAGGTAAGATCTAGCAGTTGACTGCAGAAGCAAAATAAATTCAGACCAGAAATAAAATGCATTTCTGACTGTAGTTAAATGTTGCAGGAATTAATCTAGGAATGTAATTCATTGTCACTCAAAACCTCTTTATCACCACTGAACAGCTTCTTAAGAGCTGAACCCCTTTTCAGTCCATTATAAGTTCAGTACAGAAAAAGCTAAGGAAATCCCATGGTGTGAGTGGATGGTCAGGCCAGGGGATGAGACAGTTGCATCTTTGTTTATTGTAGTGGCTCCAAAACTATGAAGTCTGGACACAGTTTCTTGATGGATTTGTTTTCACAGCATGACAGCAGTTTAGTTCTTTTTTTCTCCTGATGTTTGACATTGCACCTAGTCTGTGCTGCGTATTACATACTGCAAATCAGGAGTTTGATCATAATTCTGGGACTAATCAGAGGCTCTCTGTTCCTCAGTGCCATGGCTGTGGAGTCTTTCACTGCTGTTTCTCCTAACGTCCAGATTGGCAGCTTTGTTCTTTCCAAGGGTAAGGATTGGTTTGTGCTGCCTTTGTGTCTACTGTTGAATCAGCAGCGGACTTTGGTTCTTTCCACAACGGCAGGTGTTTCAAGGATAATCAGGAAGCCAGCCAGCAAATTGGCTGGTCCAAGTTAGATACTGGACCTGAACTTGATTCTTTATTCTGCTTAGGTCTTGTGGATAAAATTGACAACTTCAAGCAGCTGAGCCTGTCGCACCTCGAGGATCCACACGCTGATGTCACCCGAGGAGGAGATTACTTTTACCACAGCGAGAACCCCAGGCGCCCAGAGGTAAGATGAGGAAGGTAAACCAAAGCAGTGTTTACTAGTCTGTGAAAAAGAAAGTGAGGTATGAACCATTTCTATTGGTATACGTAAAAATCAGACTGCAGGCCATCACGTAGGATGGTGCCCTTAGTACAGCCCTTCAGCATGAGTGCTTCTCTTGCAGGAAGCTTTTGATCTTTGTCTTCTGTTTTCTTGACTCCAATATGCTTTTAAATGGAAAGAGATGGGATGGTATTGGGAGGTGGGTTCTGCCTGTGCCTTGCTGTACTGATCTGAGCACAGTGAAATAGCTTGTTGTCAGCTTGTGCTGCCTCCCTCCTCTGCCAAAAGATGATATGACAAGGGATGAACATCAGATCTCATTGGTGTTAATGTGCTCCTGCAGGTAAATTGGAGAGGTATTGCAAAACAGCAAAATCTGAGCTGTCAGCTGGGCCCGAAAAAAAGTCCAGCTTGGAAATTATTCTGTGTATCCTCTGGCTTTACATAAATGTTCAGAAAAAGTGTTGATCTATAAAGGGTGTTCCCATGCAGAGTTGTCTTTGCTGTGATTCTCCTCTGTAAAGAAATCCTTACTGACTTGCAATGTTCTCTTATTTGTAGGTAGGAGACCTTCGTGTCTCATTCTTCTATGCAGGTCTGAGTGGAGATGACCCCCATCTGGGCTCTGCTGATAAGGTGAGTCTGCAGCTGTCTCTGTACTTTGCAAACTCTGTTCCCAGCTCATTAACCAGTGGATGTTTTTGCCTTTCCTCCAAGGTGACTGTGATTGCTCGTCAGCGAGGCGACCAGCTGGTTCCCTATCATACCAAGTCTGGAGATGTCCTGCAGATTCTGTACCTTGGGGATCTCTCTGTGGAGGTGAGCTACCACACTGAAGTGAAGGGTTAGAACTGGAGGTGGTAGTGCAGAAACAGCAAGGGAGTAAGCTCTCATTCTCCTTCAGACCTGCTCTAGAGGAGGAGATACTCCATGTAAGCATTGGCTTTTCTCTCTCCTTTCTCTAGGACAACACGTTACAGCCTGTTTGCTTTCCAAGTTTCTGCATGTTCTTTGTGTTGCAGCAAAACTGTGCTTTACCCACTAGCAGCTCATAATTTGCCTATAGTTATTCCTGGTTATTTTTTTTTATTTTGTAAAGGAACTGTGGCTAAAGTAGCTGATATATTTATTTTTATGAAATCCCCTTGTGTTCATTTGTTCTTTGGTAATTTCCCACTTACACGTGTTGAAAAGGTTGTATGTAAAAATAGTAAAATTCAGGCTTTAATTAAACAAACTGTGGGAGCTATCCTCTCTTCAACTTCCAATAACAGGAGTATAAGCTTCTTTGGAAAGTTTATTGCTGTTCTGGCTGAGAAAGAACCTTCAGGCAGAGCATTATGCTCCAATAAATCCTGCATGCTCCAGCAATTTGGTGATTCATTTACTCCTTTTAGTAGGTTTGTTTTCATTAATGATTGTTTCATGCCTCATTGCAACGATCCCAGATGTCAACAATTTACAGGAGTTCTGAAAAGCAGTTAAAAAGGGTTTTGTTTTGAGTTAAGAGAGAGCAGCAGTAGAACCAGCTCTCTGCTGTGAGTTCTGAAACTTCATTAGATAGAATTTTAGTTGATTGGAAATTAGTACACTACAAATGAGTAATTCATAGAGTGCTTGTGTAGGACTGAGTACTTGTGCATACATCTTTTCCCATTAAGTGCTTTATGATGTCTCAGCCATCTTCACGTGTGCATTTTACAGAGCCAGAGGGGCACACAATCCATTTGGAAGAAAAATCTTACTCAAAATTCTTGCAAATGGATGTTTTGCGTTGCCTGAAGTACAGACATACCTTTTACCTTTTCTTCCCTGAAGCAAGTGCTTGCTTGCTTTCAGCTGTTAGTGAGTACTGTTGCCTTTCCTCTCTTCCTCCAAACACAGTGAAGTAAAATCATTCCTCCTTTATTACATAAACTGACTCTCCACAGTCATGTTGAATGTACAAACTTGCAGCAAAACCTGTGTGCTTTCTGCCTATGCTTCTAGTGTCAAATGGTGCTTGTTCAGCTGTCTTAATTTAGAAAAATGCTGGTTTCCCTCCTGCTGCACTTTGGAATCTGTTCCAATGTGCTGCAGTGGTGCACAAAAGACCCTGCAGAATGAGCTGCAATTTGTCTTCTACAAGAGAATTTGTGCTCCTAACATGCCCTTGGCTCAGATTTGCTCGTAATACACTGGAATAAAGAGAATCTCAAAAGAACTGAGAAACAGGCTGCATGTAATGGTGTTTGCTTTCAGGAAGTGTTTCAGAAAGAGCATGAGAGTAACACCATGAAGACCTGGGCCCTCCGTGCAGCAGGCTGGCTGGCAATGTTTGTAGGCATCAGCCTAATGACCAGAATCTTTTACACTTTAGGTAAGTTTTTGGCAGAAAGCTAAAATGGTTTAGAAACAGGATCATAATCCCCAGAGAATCTTCTCTTGCTCATATATGCAATTAATTTGAAGGTCAGGGGGAAGCTTGTTAGAACTCAGATTGGATTTGTTGTGAAAGTCACTGTAGGCAGTTGCAGGAAAACAGGATCACAGAACTGAGTGGTTGCTTTGTGAGCATTAAAACAAATATATTAAAAAGTATGTATCTATTGCCAGGCTCAGAAGATTCCAGCCAAGTGCTTACTAAGATCAGAATCCAAAGCACATGTTGGGCTGGTTCTTTCAAGTCTACCTCAATGTGCTGCAGTCCACAAGTGGTCCCTGCAATGTGTCTTTAATTAGTAGTTGTATACTAACATCTCTTTGTGTCTGGTTATTCTACGCTACTGTGAACAAACAGCAAAGAAGGTTTTTGTTTACCCTTTAAATTTAGAAAATGTTGGAATAAAAACCTTAGAGAAAAGCAGGATGGTGCTTCAAACTTGTATACACTTCAGACATCAAAGCTATCATTTGCTTTGTAGCTGTGCATTCTTTTTTTTTTTCATATTTATTTATCCATATACATGCTTCTGGAAGATTTATTGTTGCCAGAAGTTAATTTTTGTGCTAGCATATTGTATCAGTTGCCCTAGACTTGTTCTATAGCTGCAAGGCTGTTGGTCTACTCTGCCTCTCAAACCTTGGACAAGTCTTCAGACTTAATTTTGGATTACTTCTGGACTGAAGAGAAGAGGATACCATTGCCTTATATATTTAGCTGAAATCCAGCGTCCTGGATAAACGCTTTGAGTCTGTCTTTTGATTGCAATAGTTCGCATGCAACTCCTAGGCTTGAATAAGACTTCCTTCTAACCTGGCATCTTGTCAACAGCATTATCCCTTGTTTAATTCTTCCTGCAGTGGATTGGTTTCCTGTTGTGAGGGATCTGGTTAACGTTGGACTAAAGGCGTTTGCCTTCTGCGTGGCCACTTCGCTGTCGCTGCTGACCGTCTCCGTGGGCTGGCTCTTCTACCGCCCGCTCTGGGCCTTGCTGGTCGGGCTGCTCTCCGTCCTCCCCATCCTGGTCGCCAAGTCCCGCGTCCCCCCGAAGAAGCAGCAGTGAGGAGGAGGTGGTCGGGGGCCACGCCAGATCCTGGCTGGAGGCTTCTCCAGTGCCTTTCTGTCCCGGCTGCTGCAGCAGGCTTACAGCACAGCACAGCTCAGCAGCGTGCACCTGGAGCTGGGGAAGGGGCTCGACTCTGGTTCCTCATAGACATTATCCATGAGAAATGTAGGAAGGCAATGGCATCAGCCTTGAGGAAAAAAGCATTTTGGAGTGTCTGTATTGGTAATGTGAGTGAAAAAGCAGATTTGTATCTCTTAGAATATAGTGGTTCCCCCCGAATTGAAAAAGTGGCAAGTCCTCACTGTCAGGCGGGGCACGCTGTGTGTGACAGAGAAGGCGCCAGATCCGTCACACGGACCATGGTTAGATATCCCCAGGAAATCCGTGTCCATCCCCAACAACCCTCCTCTGCTGCCTTTGCTGACACACACAGCCATGTATGTGTCTTTGGCTGATGCAGCTGGACGTCTGTGTCTCTGTCTGTGTGTGTTCAAAGGAAAAACACAACTTGGTCATATTTCACACAATGCTTAAGTAAAATGTGTGGACTGAGGGTTGTCAAAGCAACTTGCAGTCCTGAGTGGCTAGGTTGGCAGTACTCTGAGGTAAGGCAGATTTGTCAGAAAGTGTTGATATCCCCCAACTTTTAAAGTCTCTGAACTGGTTCTTGCTTAAGCATCCAAAATGGTAGTGTGGACTATGCCATTGTGTAACTATTCCAAAAATTTAACTTTGAATTGCACTTATTTAAAGGGATACTCAGAGGTCACTAGCTTTTAAAATTAAAACCTGCTGCCTTGAAACAAAGTAAACTTTTGTAATTGAATAGATATTCTTTAAAATATTTGGGTTTTTTTGGCTATGTGTACAGGCTCTTTCTTGAATTTCTCTTAATAAGGTAAATTAACTAAATCCATGAAACTAAATAATGATATTATTTTTGCCTGATTGATTTCATAGGTGTTTAGTAGTCTAAATTTTGAGCTTGGTATTATGTTCCAGGAGTGCCTTATTGGAGTGTGGTGATGGCACGCTTACGTATTTCTGCTGTAACCAGTACTTGAGATTAGAGACTGTTTGTACCATTTTTAAGTCTCTCTCCACCTAGCCCGTCTGGTTTCCAGACATGCCCTTCCTACACTACAGTGTGTTTTTTGTCTCAGTATACACAATTCAGTACAAAAATGTCTTAATTTCTGAAAAGCAGTTATGACTATTAGTAGAAATGTGTTCCCTATACCAAAGGAACTTAACTTGAACATACATAGAAGCAAATGTTTCCTACCAATGGTACAGAGATCTGAGTTTTATATCATAAATGTTTTGAGAAGCAGTAGTTGCTTTATTAGCCTTAATTCTTCCCATTCTTCTGGTATGTGAATGGTGTCAGTTCTGTCTCACGGCTCAGTTATGCTGGTAAAAGCAGTAGTAGTGTTGAGCTTTTGTATGTTTAATAAAGTACAGTTTTCAAAAGGTTGGTCTGTAGGCTTTTTATTACATTTAAGTATTGTACATTTCGTATCCAGGTACATGAAGGTTCCCCATGAACTAATTTTCTGTTGTTGGTTGAGGTAAAGGTGCAGCTGAGTTTTGTTCACCATGTAAATGCATCCCTGTCTTGGGAAGCAAGTTCCCAACAGCAGGGCAGCTGCCATCTGGTCTGTGCCACTAGGTGCTGCAGGGCTGATTCCAGCCTATCATGGTTCCTGAAAAATATGATGGTTCAACCTCACTGGATACACCATGATGTATTTTTAAGAGACTGGTGGCTTACTGATATGTACAACAGCTTCAAACACGTTTGTCTTACAGACTGGTGTATGCACAGGAACAGCACAAAGTAGGCTCCTTTCAGAGACAAGAATTTAGTGTTCCCCAGGCCAGGTGTGCTGGTGCAGCCAAAGCTCACTTGTATTGCACGTACACAAACAACGTTTCTGTAGAGACACCTGAAGCAGTATTTCTTGCTTCCTTGCCAAAATCTGACAGAACATGTACCTGATGTACTTCAACATCAATATTCAAAAAGTACAATCAACTTCCCTCTCTGCTTTGGTCTCCCTTAAAGTATATTTACTCTTTGATCATTTGCATGCCTCTGGAGCTGAGGAGTGGGAACCTGCCCTGTGAAGATGTTGCCTCTTTCCCCACTGACTATACATAAATATAGTCGCTAGACTCATCACTGTGCTGAGTGTCCCAAGTTAGGCAGGACAGAGTCACCTTGGTACAGCTAGTACCTGCTCCCATTTTAAGCAGATGAAGAATTCCTGGTACCAGCAGGAGCTGGACGTGGGCCCCGGCATTCGAAGTGCTCTTCTGGAGGCACATCGCACATAGCGGTGCCATGGCTAACAGAAGGAACTACATTTCTGTGCTCTCTGTTGTTTACCAGTTGAAATGCTGGGGTTTGAACCC